GGCTGCTGCTGTTTACTTTCACTGAAGAGAGGATTGTGTATCCTAATTAATGCCCCATGCACATTCCTATAGCCCATGGGTTTTTCCAAAGAATGTGCAAAAAATTATCTCCAATTTTTATTACATTTTCTGATGCATATTGACGTCCTTATGGTGTGTAGAAAGTTTGAGATGATTCCAACTTAAACTTTTAAAGTTACAGCCATTTTAAGAAATAGGCCAAAATCTGAAAAATATCCAAGGCTATAATAGCCCATGCTTCTTTCCAAAAATTGGCTTAAAATTCATCCTCAATTTTTATTACATATTCTGATACATATTGATGTACTTATGCTGTTTAGGAAGTTTGAGCTGATTCTGACTTAAATATTTTAAGTTATAGCCATTTTAAGAAAATGACCAAAATCTGAAAAATACCCAAGGCTATAAGCCCGTGCTTTTCCCCCAAAAATGACTAAAAAATCATCCCCAATTTTTATTACATATTCTGATACATATTGATGTACTTATGCTGTGTAGAAAGTTTGAGCTGATTCAAACTCCAATTTTTCAAGTTATGGCCATTCTAAAAAAATGAGCCAAAATCTGAAAAGTACCCAAGGCTATAGCCCATGGTTTTTCCCAAAAAATGGCTCCGAAATCACCCCCATTTTTTATTACATATTCTGACACATATTGATGTACTTATGCTGTGTAGAAAGTTTGAGCTGATACCGACTTAGATTTTTCAAGTTACAGCCATTTTAAGAAATGACTAAAATCTAAAAAATACCCATATACATGTACATATACAGTGTACTGTATAACATAATAATTTCTCTTTCCTCTCTTTTCTTTTTATTTTTTTCTCTCCTTGAGCTACATGAGCTTGTACATGTACATTAATCATTAATAATGTCCAATTATAATCCTTAACTTACATTATTATGCCTAGAGGGATGTGGATTGGTAAAGGAGTGGGCAAAGACTGGGAGGAGTCTAGTAATATTTGTACATGCATTACTACTATGCTGAACCGTTGAATTGATATGACCTCAAGCTACACCCATTCAGGCACTAGCTACCCTATACAGTGTATACTCCCTCCAGCTGAAGGTCATGTGATCAGTGACTCCGCCCTATTGTACCCCCACTATAATAACGGATTGGTAATAGCGTATTATGATAAGAATGGGAATGGAAAAACAAAGAATGAAGAACAGGAATCAAAAGCTACCAATTTAATCGTTTTTGATAAGGTTTCTGAGTGATACTTTCCATTAGCTGAGTAAGTCATTAATTATTATTATTATTATTAATTGATGGGTGTGGTCTTAAAATGTTTTTAGTTTGTAGTGTCGGAACTGGTTGATCCTGCCCACTAACGAGGACAAACCGGTTTGTCTGGTTCCTAATAGTTCACTCTCAGTATCGACTTTCCTTCTGTCACAAGAGAATTATGTAACAAAAGTAATTCAAATTATTTATTTATTTATTATTTATTATTGTTATTATTATTATTATTATTATATTATTATTATTATTATTATTATTATTATTATTATTATACAACAGAAAAAAAAGGAAAAAGAAAAGTAAAGCCTACACTAAAATATACAATCATTAAAATACAGTAAGCAGTTAAATGAGCCCATCAACAGAAGGAGGCAAGAGGGGATTATGAGTGGCCCACATAACAGCATTCCCC